GAGCCTCTGTCGGAGGAAACTCGGAGGAGTGAGGTGCGGCGCGCTGCCGCCCCTCGACGCAGGGAACGCAGGTAGGGGCAGTCCCCGGAGGAAGGGGAGGGAGGGACCGGGGGAGACCAGAGACAACGACACGGGAGGCCATACCTCGGAGACGAGGCAGGGAGGGGTGCCCAAGGCGGTGGTGCCAGAGGAGAGTCTGGTGAGACAGGAGGCGACACGAGCAGGGGGCGGACTCAGGGCCAGACCTGGACGTGGCAGGAAACACCTGACCCGACAGAGCTACCTGACCAGACTCAGTGACCGGAGAAGACTCAGTGGTCAGTGTGTACAGGCTCGATCCTGGCCGACGGGTAAACGTGGCCAAGTGTTGGCCCGACCGAGCACACGTACAGTGGGTCACTTGCTGACTCGCAGGAGTGAACTGGTGAACCCCTCCATCCTGTAGGTCAGCACCACTCACCAAGTTCGTAGAGAACGAGGGGAGGTAAAGACCTGACAGGGTGCCAGAAGGGGCCGCCGGACACGGTAGGACAGTGGAGTAGTGAGCAAGGACAGGACCCCCAGAGGGGTCCGCCAGAGAGACCGCCGCTGGCCGACTAACTGGCGTGAGTGTAGTGCGGTCTCGAAAGAAGGAGCGGGAAGCACCCGAGTCAAGGGTGAAGGTGTGACAGGCCTGGGCCGACGTGGTACCTGAGAGAGCAGACGCACCAGTACCTGGGGCAGCAGACGCACTGGCACCTAGAGCAGCAGCCTCACCAGCACCTAGAGCAGCAGCCTCAATGCCTGGGTCAAGCGGGACACACAGGTAACAGTCACCCTCATCACTAGTAGACACAGCATACATGGCAGCAAGAATAGCATCAAAGTCTAGATCAAAGATTGCAACCCCCGACCTAAAGAGCTCGCCCCAGCGAGGGATCTCAGCGGCGCCAGGGAACTGGAGACGCCAAGCGTCCGTCAGGCGGCTGAAGCAGCGCTGGGTGGGGTGCGGGCCTCCGCACGTCTCACTAGTGCGGTCGCCGGTACGCAGGACGTAGGTACAAGGACCAGCACCCCCACCCGGCTGACGCGCAGCGTACCACTCACGAAGCTGCTGGGGGGACGGGGTCTCACGAGCGCGCTGCTGCTGCTGGCGCGGACCTCCACCGGAGCCACCTCTCTGCGCAGAGCCACCCCGACCAGCGCCACCGCCGCCGCCGCCACCTCCACTACCGCCGCCACCGCCGCCGCCTCCGCTCCCGCCGCCACCGCCGCCGCCTCCTCCGCCTCCACTGCCGCCACCGACACCCCCACTCCCGCCACCACCCCAACCACCACCCCCACCCCCTCCGCCGCCTCCACCGCCACCTCCACCGCCCCCGCTAGCTCCTCCAGCGCCCTTGCCCCCCTTGCCCTTGCCAGTGCGGCGTCTCCCGCTAGGGGCAGACGCCGCGCCGACCGACTCAAGACCAACTAGGTCGGCTGCAGCAGCAGAGGCAACAGAGGGCAAGAGGGGGGAGGGGGAGCACCCCTCAAAGAAGGGGGTACGAGGGTCACCACGAGAGGCTCCTACAGCGACTATACTCTTCTCTGCTGCCAGGAGGCGCTCCTCGAGGAGGTCAACGGTGAGAGTGGTGGGGCAAACAGAGAGGAAGTGGTCCCTGACCGAGCGAAGGGAGTCAGGGAGCCGGGTGACTATGTAGTAGAGGGTGATGTACATAGGGGGGGGTTCTTGGCGCAGAACTCAGCAGGAAGTGCAGCGCGGTAGCGTGTGTCACTAGTGCGAAGGTGCGTAGTGAGGTCAGCGACTGTGGGAAAAGCGGCGAGGTCAGGGAACAGGTACGGCAGCATGAGGCGGCTAAGGGCAGCAGTGGCAGGGGAAGAGTAGCGTGCAACTACAGCGTCGTACAAGGTCTTAGCACTCTTGTACTGACTAAAGTGCGCACGCTTAGTGGTCGGAAAGTGACGGCGCACAGCAAGACGGGCTGCAGCATCGCGTGTGGCCCACTGTGAGCGAACAGTGCTGTCAGCATCAGTAGGCGGGGCAGGGGAGGCACCAGACGTGAGATCGAACAGGGAGAGACCGTCTGCCCTATCGCACTGTAGGAAAAGATGCAGGTCATCGATCCTGACCTCAAAGTCAACAGCTCGACCCTCAGCATCAAAGGTAAGGACACTAGGGGTAGCCATGACAGCAGCAGCCTAGCGGGGAGAGCAGGAGGCTAGAGGTGGCGCAGTAGCAGAGGTGCTGCGCGAGAGTGCGCTTACCAGACCGTTAGTTAGGGCTGCAGCGGCAGTTGTGGTCGCGGCTCGACGGCGGCGGCTACTCGAGGGCGGCAGCGGCTCGGCGGCTCGGTGGCGGCTCGGCGGCACGGCGGCGGCTCGGCGGCTCGGCTTCGCGGCGGCTCGGCTGTGGGAGCAGCAGTTGCAGCTCGGCGGCTGGGCGGCTCGGTAGCTCGGCGGCTTAGCAGCGGCCGCAAGAGGGCGGCAACGGGGCCACGAGAGGGCGGCGACAGGGCCGCGAGAGGGCGGCGACGGGGCCGCGAGGGGGGGGGGGTGGCGACGGGGCCGCGAGAGGGCGGCGACGGGGCCGCAAGGGCGGCGACGGGGCCGCTGGCGGCGACGGGGCCGCTGGCGGCGACGGGGCCGTTGAGGGCGGCGACGGGGCCGCGAGGGCGGCGACGGGGCCGCAAGGGCGGCGACGGGGCCGCTGTGGACGGCAACGGGGCCGTAAGAGGGGCGGCAACTTGGCCGCTGAGGACGGCGACGGGGTCGCTGCGGGCGGCGAAGGGGCCGCTGAGGGCGGCGACGGGGCCGTGAGAGGCGGCAACGGGGCCGCTGCGGGCGGCTTCGGGGCCGCTGAGGGCGGCGTCGGGGCCGCTGAGGGCGGCGTCGGGGCCGCTGCGGGCGGCGACGGGGCCGCTGAGGGCGGCGACTGTGCCGCGGCGGGCGGCTACTGGGCCGCTGAGGGCGGCGACGGGGCCGCTAAGGACGGCGACGGGGCCGCAATGGGCGGCAAGGGGACCGCCAAGGGCGACGACGGGGCCGCTAAGGGGACGCGACTCGACGGGAGGACGGCCGACGGGGCGCGCCTCGGGCAGGGGCGACTCGCAATCCGGGCAGGAAAAAAAAAAATTTAGTGGTGGGCCCTAGGAAGCGTTCCTACTAGGGAACCTGCTCTGATATCATGTGAGAATGAACGAGAGGATGAATGACTAAGGAATGAGTGTGATACAAATATGAAACCCTAGAAGTTTGTGTACCCCTTAGTATCTAACCCGCTACAGCCTACACAGGCTAGATCATATCAGTCTGACACTCTTGTCCAGGTGCAGGCTGCGGGTGTGGCATAAAGCTGATGGACCCGCGCTGGGGCTCGTACGGAGCGAAGGTAGGCTGTTGCTGTTGATTTCCGCGCGCGTAAGACGAGACATCGAGACTCATGGGTGTCACGTCGTTGTTGTTGTTGCCCTTGTTTGACTGCGCAGGTACCCCTTGCTGGTGTTGTTCGTAGAAGGACATGAAGGAGAAGAACTGTCTCCCCCCAAATATACCCCCATGGGGGGCAATAATAAAACAGGTTTTTTCAGGGGGGTGGGCTTATAATCGAGTAAATTTAAAAGCGCCGGCGTTTATAAAATGACATAATTATTTTTTATATCTTTTAACACCAAACTGTAGGTGTCGTGCTCGCCTTTTCAATCGAGTCGAAGTTACATGGGGTCGTCTGTGAAATTCTCGCGCGCGCTGGGAGATACACCCAATCTGACTCACATCCAGCTCCTGACAGCTCCTGACAGCTCCTGCTGACTGGACCCGCATCCAGTGTAGGGTCCGAAAGTGAAGGGAACCGAATCTGCAACATATCCGCCTGCTAAAGTAAAAATCGTTACAGCGTTTTGAACACATTTCAAATTTTAAAGTTTACGTGCGCTTATAATAAAACAAGTTTTTTCAAGGGGTGCGCTTATAATCGAGGAGGGGATATAAGCGCCATATGCCAATTAGAAGCGCCAGGCGCTTATCCTAGGGTGGCGCTTATATCCGGGGGGTGACGGAACTTCTCCATCATGCTTGGGTCGAAGCCCGCGACTTGGTTTGCGGGAGTTTCGGTAGATGTTGCCCTTGGTCTTGTTGCCGTACCCTCCTCTGTCTGTAGGCCAGAGGCAGGAGGTGGAGTAGGAGTAGTACCGGGAGAGCCGTTAGAGGAGCTTCTCTCCTTCTGCGTTGCCATGCCTTGTGACGTTGTGGTTGTCTTGATTGTAGTTGAATTTGTCCTGGTTGCTCTCATACTATGTTGGGCTGAAAAACCCCTTAGGATCTTTGCAGGACTAAGTTCTTGGTAGGACTGATGTAATAGCGGAAGCGTTTAATGAAAGGTTGTGAACCACCTTGCGCTGGTATGTGAGGGCAAAGTAGATTGATTAAAACAAAGAGATACAAGCTTTTATAAGAGTACAAGGGAATATGAAGGGTTATGACTAATAACGGTTTCGCTGTTGCTGTTGCGGTTCGATAGAGTGACGACTCGGGCAACTGCTCAATAGCGAGTCAGTTGTTTGTCCTTGCTGTCGCGCAGTACTTGTTAGGTCAAAGGTCGCTGATCTTTGACTTCCGCGTAACCTCCAGCAGTTGCTCAACCTCCGAGGGTCGACTCGCTGATGCTTCGATATGTTGTGCTTCGCTTCTGACTTGGTGTTTCGACACGACAGGGGCGCTTAAATCAATTGTTTCCAACAGAAATTACCATAGGAGAAACATAAGTGCCCAACCCAACCTCTCATAATTGTTCGGACCCATCTTAGGGCTTGGCCATTTGAATCATGTTGTCTATTATCGCAATATGATACCATGGCAGCTCTGGTTGTAAAACATGCATTGAGCACAATCCTTTCCCATTCCAACCCATTCGCTAAAATACCCTACCAACTCTGTGTATGTAATGGGTTTCAATTGTCAACTTTCGAGACGCCTCGGAAGTTTGTGCATGTAAGGGTATTCATTTCAACGCGAGCGCTACATCACTCCTCGGGCCCGTCTTGGGCCTTGGCCAGCCGAATCATGTCGTCGATCCTGAGAATGGTGATGGCGGCTTCAGTGGCAAACTGCAGCAAGAGGAGACGAAGACAGAGTGGGCATTCAGTGAGAGGGGCAGAGGACACGGCGAATATGCAGAGGGGGGGGGGGTGGCGCAGGATTACTCAGCGAGGAATGGCACGCACTGTCGAGGGGAATGAACGGTAATTGCGAAGATGAGCCAAGTGATGGAGTTATGCAGCACAAACACAACAGGCATGACCAAGTCCATGACACAGGGGGGCCTTCCGCTCAGAAAAAGAAGATGAAAGAAGTGATGGCTTTTGATCATTTCAAGCTCAGGACCATAGACAGATAACCAACACGAGACCAGCATAAGACCAAAACCACGACGCAGGCAGAATTTCAGCTGCAGCATCTGAATTATGATCCTATCTGGCTCCACACGCCCGCCTCTGTGTTGCTCCTCAGTGCCCCGTTCACCAGGTAGGACCAAACCAGTTCAATACTAGCTTTGACCTTACCTGATCAATACCAGCAGGAACAAAGAACCAAGAAGGCCCCCTACCTGCAGGATCTTGGTTTTGCTCATTGCTGGCTCCAACACTCCCGCCTCCACGTTGTTCCTCTGTGTCCCCGCTTCACTTCACCAGACCAGATCCGGGACGTACCTAATGGACACCAGAGCAAAGCAACACAGTCCTCTCACCTGCAGGATCTTGGTTTTGCTCATGGCTGGCTCCAACACTCCCGCCTCCACGTTGTTCCTCAACACACCGTTCACCAGGTCCAAACCGTACCTGCCTCACAGGGAAGGGGAAGAAGGAGAAGGAGAAATATTAGACGTTTGACTAAATCTGAGATGTCTCAAACTTGTTCCTCGGCACCCCATTCACCAGGCCCAAATCAAACCTGTCTCACAGGACACAAGGGGGAGGGGAAATGACAAGAATGGCATGAGGCAAGACAACGATGACTCGTGGTAAGACCAAAATGACTCGTGGTAAGCCAAATATGCCACACGGTAAGAGGCACTCGTGATGGTCAAAGTGACTGATATGTACTTGCATGGTGAAAACGTGGTAAGCCGCACTCAAGTCAACTGGAAAACGTGGTAAGCCGCACTCAAGTCGACTGGAAAACGTGGTAAGCCGCACTCATTGGGATACAGAGTCTCTTGTGAATCTCGATTCAACTCAACCCCACCCCAAACTCACTCTGCCAAGTGCTGCTTGTCGCTTTTAGTCTGCGACATGTGGTGGTACGCCCTCAGCTTCGCCACCAGATCTGTGGCGTCCTTGGCAGCATTCACCGCAAGCACCTGATGGAGTGAGGGACAGCACGTAGAGAAGGGGTACAAGGTAAGGGGTAAATGGCAAGATTGAAGGTAACCCTCAGCTTCGCCACCAGATCTGTGGCATCCTTGGCAGCATTCACCGCCAGCACCTGCAGCAGCACGGGGAGCAGCAACGGGTGGAGAGGCATCGGGAGGAAAGGAGCTCGGGGTTAAAGCCCTGGAACATGTGGTGGAATGCCCTCAGCTTCGCCACCAGAGCTGTGGCATCTTTAGCATCTTTAGGCATTGAACAGGGCACACCTTAGGCGCACGAGCGGGACACGCGTACCTTGGGAATGACGAGCAGTGCCTCTGCAAACTCAGCAATAGCGAGCTGTTCCCGGGATCCAAGGGTCGTGGCCAGGTTCTCCAGGTGCACTGACAGGGCCGCTTCCACAGCGCCTCCCCCTGCTACCACGGAGTTGGACTCGAGTGTGCGCTTGACAATGCAGATGGCGTCGTGAAGGGAGCGATCCATCTCGTCCAGCATGTAGTCGTTGGCTCCTCGCAGGAGCAGTGTGGCCTGTTGTGAAAGACAGGTCAAGGAAAGGGCAGAGGTGGGTGAGAGCGCTTGACGATGCAGATGGCATGGCACCATGGAGGGAATGATCCATCTCGTCCAGCATGTAGTCGTTGGCTCCTCGCAGGAGCAGGGTTGCCTGTGGTATAGAGATGGGGAGTTGGATCAGTAGGAGTGGGAGTGTTGAGAATGCGGACGTCATCGTGCAGCAGCGAGCGATCCATCTCGTCCAGCATGTAGTCGTTGGCGCCGCGGACGAGGACGGTGGCCTGCAGTGTGGGAGAGGACAGGACACATAAGGGAGAGTGGGTTGGTGGTGCAGCATGTAGTCGTTGGCCCCTCAGACGAGGAGCGCTGCCGCCGGATAGAAGGGGAAGATCGGACGGGAGGGATGGAAGGGAAGGGAGATGAGAGGTTGGGGAGATGGGGGAGGTGGATGGTGGTGGTCCAGGCTTCACAGCGAGCGTGGCCAGTGGTATGGGATAGGCCACATAACAGCCAGCGTATCCCCCTGTGCCCATTCCTGGTGCACCCCCTCTGTCTGCCCCAGTGGGTGTGTGGCCTTCCCTGCCCTGCTCTACCCATTCACCCCTGTGGACCCCCGTGTCTCGTTCTTTCCCTTCCCCATCCACCCACTCACTGCTTTGGCGGCCTTAAAGCCCTTGAAGATGAGAATGTTGTCATCTGCCACCCGCTCCTCGTACACCTCCTCTGCCTGTCCCAGCATGGACGCATCGAACGTCTCCCCGCCCTCCATGTCCGCGAATGTGAGCATCTGAGGTTGGTTGCGAGAAGAAACGAGAGGGCATATATCATGTGAGACAACACCCTTTCCTCGTACACCACCCCTCTTCTGCCTGCCCCAACATGGACCATCAAATGTCACCCACCCCTCCATCTCCACAAATGAGAGCATCTGAGGTTACCTCGTTTGGTACAACTGAAACGGTTTGACTAATGACGAACCAGCCTTTCTTTGCTAAGTTCAGTTCATGCAATGAAGCTCCACAGAATTTTCCCAAGTAGCGTCGAATCTAAAAACGTCAACGCCTTCTTTTATTCGTCTCGAACCACAGCAGGTTCGACCAGACCCCCCTCCCCCTCCTGAACGATTTCCTGGTCGATGTAAGAAGAAGCACTCCTTCCTTCCTACCATCAGCCTCCCAGCAGCAAGACAACCACCCCCACCCACACCAAGCCCATTCACATCCCCCCTCGCCCCCCTCGCCTCACCATGGTAGCGCACCAGATACCTTGGTGATGTGCTTCAGGTCATTGCAGGGTTTTTTTGAGAAGTCTAAAAAAAACCCTGCAGCACCAGATACCTCGGCGATGTGCTTCAGGTCGTCCTCTGCCTGCCACCCTCCTTCATACCGCCCACCTTCTAGTCAGGGTACCAACCCCACCCACACCAGCTCACTTGCACACACCACTCACACGCACCCGTGGCTGGCCCATTCCCATCTCGCCCCCCGCGCCTCACCATGGTGGCCCCAGACGCCTTGGCGATGTGCCTCAGATCATCACACACCTAATAGCCCATCCTCACACCTCCCTTTGTCTCACCATGGTAGCACCAGACGCCTTGGCGATGTGCCTCAGGTCGTCCTCCTTCACCCTCCTTCCCACCGCCTGCCTCGTAACAGTCAGGATACCATCCCCACACCAAGCGCACACACATGCCCCTCTCGCCTGCCCCTAATAGCCCATCCTCACACGTCCCCGCGCCTCACCATGGTGGCACCAGACGCCTTGGCGATGTGCCTCAGGTCGTCCTTCTTGACTCGCCGCACTGCAATGGCGCCTGCCTCCACGAAATACTGGTGGATGGGAGAGGGAAGGACAGGGGGGTTAGGGAAACGAGTGACTCAAAAGAGGGGAAAGACAGGCAGGATGTGCTTCAAATCGTCCTTCTTCACCCGTCGCACTGCAATGGCCCCTGTTTCCACGAAATACTGGTGGATGTGGGGACGAGGGAAGGAAGGGAACGACAGGCAGGGCAGGAGGTGGGGGGGGGGGACACGAAGGGGGAGACAGGCGGGATGCCGCAGGTCGTCCTTCTTGACCCGCCGCACTGCAATGGCGCCTGCCTCCACGAAATACTGGTGGAGGAGGGACGGGAAGGGAGGGAAGGATAGGGTGGGCGGGAGTGAGGCAGAGGGGAGGGGTGGGGTGTGCCTCAGTTCGTCCTTCTTGACTCGCCGCACTGCAATGGCGCCTGCCTCCACGAAATACTGGAAGATAGGGAGTGAGGGAAGGGAACGACAAGGGAGGATGGGATGTGAGGCGTAGGGGGTGCGGGGGAAACAGGCAAACGGGACAGGCAAGATGTGCCTCAGATCTTCAAGGCGATTGCACACAGGACAAAGGTTCACCATGACAGCTCACCTTAAGCGACAAGTCATCACAACACAACGGCTCACCAGCTCACCTTAAGCGTCACGTCATCACGACAGCTCACCTTGAGCGACATGTCATCACGACAGCTCACCTTGAGTGACATGTCATCACGACAGCTCACCTTGAGCGACATGTCATCACGACAGCTCACCTTGAGCGACATGTCATCACGACAGCTCACCTTGAGCGACATGTCATCAATGCCCTTGGTGGTGAGAATGACATTCGCACCCGCCTTGAGCATCTTTTGGATTCGCTCCTTCGTAATGTCCGACTCCCTGCCACGAGAGCAAGCACAGCACAACACCGATTAGAGAAGAGCAGAACACAACGATTGTAACCAACAGCACACATGGCCCCCTTTGAGCATCTTCTGTATGCGCTCCTTTGCAATGTCCGACTATTTTTGAGGCGCCTCAGAAATCGTCTCAGTTTTGAGGCGCCTCAAAAAAATTTGAGGCGCCTCAAAAACCAACAGCACACATGGCCCCCTTTGAGCATCTTCTGTATGCGCTCCTTTGCAATGTCCGACTCCCTGCCATGAGGAACAGAGCAACATGGAGCAGAACATTGTATGGCAGAACACACCGGTTGTAACCACCAGCACCACGTTGCTCCATGGAGCCAGCACCACGGAGTTCGGTGTGTTCTGCCTCCATGGAGCCTACAATATTGTACGGCAGAACACACCGGTTGTAACCACCAGCACCACGTGTGGCCCACCTTAAGCATCTTCTCTATGCGGGCGGGCCCCACACACCCCTCCCTTGCCCTCCCAGCCTTGCTTCTTTACACACCTTTCCCGAATCTTGTCGAGCTCTTTCGGATCAATCACCAGCACCTGCACGCCCATCTGCATGCGGGTGCGCTGGAGGTTGAAGTTCAGGCACGCGATGCGGGCGGGCCCCACATAGTAGGGCATGCCCTTCCTCCCACCCCACTTCCACTCACTCACATCCACACAAAGCAAAAACCCAACCACTCGATCATGATGTGCTCTCACCACTCTCTAATCTTGTCCAACTCTTTCGGATCAGTCACCAGCACCTGCACGCCCATCTGCATGCGAGTGCGCTGCAGGTTGAAGTCCAGGCACGCAATGCAAGCAGACCCTTCCATGTACCCCGCCCTTTCCCTCCACCAAACCTTGCTTCTTTACACACCTTTCCCGAATCTTGTCCAGCTCCTTCGGATCAGTCACCAGCACCTGCACGCCCATCTGCATGCGAGTGCGCTGCAGATTGAAGTCCAGGCACGCGATGCGGGCGGGCCCCACGCGGCGGGGCATGCCCTGGGCGGCACGTGTGGTGTTGAGCGCATAGCCGTTGATCAATGCGCTGTCCCTCGCACTCTTGCCATGCGCCTTGAGAATGTTGATTGCCTGAGGTGGTGGAGAAGGGGCGCGGGGCGCACGCGAGCGGAGAAGCAGCAGAAGACGAAGGGCAAAAGAGGAGCAGGTGGGCAAAAGGGAAGACGGTTGCGTGTGGAGGCAAGAGGGCTGGACGTGCGGGCAGGCCCCACGCGGCGGGGCATGCCCTGGGCGGCACGCGTGGTGTTGAGCGCATAGCCGTTGATCAGCGCACTGTCTCTGGCGCTCTTTCCATGTGCTTTAAGAATGTTGATGGCCTGAGACGGAGGAGGAAGGTGTGGGTCGCACAAGAGAGAGGCAAGGGAACGAGAACAGGCAGCAGAAGAGGGGCAGAGAGGAGCAGGTGGGCAAAAGGGATGAGGAGGGTGGAGGCAAGAGAGCAGGGCGTGCGGGTGGGCCCCACGTGGCGGGGCATGCCCTGGGCGGCGCGGCGCGTGGTGTTGAGCGCATAGACGTTGATCAGTGCACTGTCCCTCGCACTCTTGCCGTGCGCCTTGAGAATGTTGATGGCCTGGGAGGGAGGAGGGGTTGCGGGATGCACAAGTGAGACGCGAGGCAACAGGGAGGAAGCAGCATAAGGGGGGCCGGAAGGGCTGACGGGATGAGGGAAGAGAGACACAAAACAAGATAGCAGAAGCCCTGGAGGGGGTGTGCCCTGGGCAGCATACATTGATCTGGGCAGCACACATGGTGGTGTTGATTGAGCGTGTGGGCATTTATCAGCAAGCATTGAAACAGATGTGATGATCAGATACCTCAATGGGATATCTGGCTTGGCCCTTCTCGTTCATGGTCTTCACTGCTTGCACGGTGTACAAGTGTATCCGCAGAGACTTGCTGCCACATATGGCGACAGCTCCAACTGATGCTCGAACTCGATCACATGTCAGATTGCCATACGCACCTTAATGGGGTATCTGACTTCGCCCTTCTCGTTCGTGGTCTTCACTGCTTGTACTGCGTCCACAACCTGTGAGGGGCGAGGAGAGAAGCGAACAATCAGAGAGGGGGATCGAGAAGAAGAACAAAGAAAAAAGGAAATCCTTACTAATTTGTGGAACCCCACCACCATTCCAAACTCAACACATGCACATACTCAATACACACACACTTTTGATAGACACACACTCGCTACAAGCACAGACTCGATACAAGCAGCAGCACCCACCATCTTGCCAAAGAACTCGCTGTCCATGTCGACAATCTTAGAGGCCATGCTCGTCTTGGCCGCGTTCAGCAGCGTTGACTTGCCCAGCTTCTCCACCTGCTCTTGTGCGCAGGGGAGCAGCACCAGAAGACAGCAAGAGGAAGGAGGGGGGACAGGGAGGGGAGAGGCCATCAGTGAGCCCGACCGGAGGTTGATGTGGCGCTGACAATCTTGGAGGCCATGCTCGTCTTGGCCGCATTCAGCAGCATCGCCCCACATAGCTTCTCCCCTTGCTCTTGTGAACAGGGGAGCAGTGCAGGGCGGGATTGCATGCACACAGCAGCAAATGCAAAATGCAAGAAAAGGGAGCGAGAGCAGGAGAGAAGGAATGAGGAGGGGGATTGTAGGGGACAGGCAAAAAAGAGACAACACATCATTGAAAAAACCCCAAACCCCTTACCATAACTGAAGTCTACCTCACACACCTTGACTGCCAGCTTGCCATCCACTCAACGGATACGCAACCACACAGGAAAAACCTCTAGTTCTGGAAACCCCTATTCCATGACTAGAGGTCACAACACAACACTCACCTTGACTGCCAGCTTGCCGTCCACGTACTTGCACGCCTCCCTCATCGCCAGCTGTAATGACCCACCAGAGATGGTTGAGGGGTGAGGAAAAAGAAAAACGATCCAGGAAACGAGAGAGGGAGAGGAGGTAAACTGGATGAAATGGCGGCTGAAGACCATCTGGGTTCTGGGTCTGGGAAGGTATGGTCGTGATTTCAGTGTCAGAAAGGCTACAGTCTGGGTTTGGGTTTGGGAAGCTATCACCTTGGGTTCTGAATTTGAAAAGCTATTATATTCGGATTCTGGGTTTGGGAAGCTGTCATATTGGGTTATAGGGTTTGGGAAAACAAGTTTTAAATTCAAAATTTGGGGGATAGGGTTCTGGGTTTGCCGGGCTATGGCTTGAAGTTTATATTTTCGGAGCCAGTCATGGGTTTCTGGGTTATGAGGCCATGGTTTTAGGTTAAACCACAGGGGAATGGGGGGGTTGGGGTAAGGGGCACACTCACTCGATACCCGCTGATGATGGACGTTGGGTGAATGCGGTTGCGCACGAGATCGTCTGCCCTCTGCTCACACGCACAACACACAAACGAGTAAAGACGAGGAGTGCAAAGGGATGAGTGCTGTACAAAGCGCCTCAAAAATCTTCGCACCATGCATGCACAAGAGGTCGTCCGTGCTCAGCGCAGCGTGAGAGGAGGGGGGGGGACGAAATGGACAATGGAACCTAAGAAGTCAAGGACACACAAGGAGATAGGCAGAAAGGCAGACAGGCAGACAGGCAGACAGGCGCACACGTATGGAGGCCCTCTACCTCACCTCCCTGTTCACTCACACAAAGCGGCCTTGAAGCAAACTCTAAGGCACTACCAGAACTTCACGCAGCGCATACAGAGAGAGGCGCCATCCCCCACCTTGAGAAGCTCAGCAGCAATGATGACGACTGACGTGGTGCCATCCCCCACCTCCCTGTCCTGCAGCTCTGCCAGATCCACCAGCACCTGGAGACACACACGGCAGGCAAGGGGAGGGTGGGGTGAGGGGGGATGGGAGGAAGCGGGGGGGGGTTGGGGGTGTTGCTTTCAAGGCACCTCAAAGGACCTCTCCCAAGTGGTAATAGGGTGCTCGAGCTATGGTATTTCTGAGAAATTTCGACGAGATTCCGGAGGGTTTCCAAGCGCAACAGCAATTAGAAGCACGCTACCTTGCCTGTGGCATTATACAAAACACTCCCGTGACAGCAGAGCCCTTCACTTACACCTGCTACAGAATGGTGACCATTTGAGTCCTAAAAAAAATAGCACTACACAGAGCAATCCCTTGCGCCCGGCGTTGCTTGAAACAATGCCTTGGCAGCAGGATGCTCCACCTCCAGCTGCTTCAGAATGGTGAGAAAGCACTAAGCATGATATTCCTTGGCTGCAGCGATGTACAGAACACTACCTTACCTGCTGCACTGCACTACTTAGAGCACTACCTTGGCAGCGGGATGCTCCACCTCCAGCTGCTTCAAGATGGTGGCTCCGTCGTTGGTGATGGTGATATCACCAATGTCGTCCACTAGCATCTGCCAGGCAGGAGATGCAGGGACGCAGGGGACGCCGGGGACGCCGGGGACGCAGGGGACGCAGGGGGAACCGATTGGGAACTGATGAGTGGTGAACAGAGGATACATACGGTTGATGTTAGTGATGGTGATATCACCAATGTCATCCACTAGCATTTGGCAGGAAAGGAGATGCAGAGAGGACCGATTGGGAGCCGAAGATTTGAAAAGCGGACAAGACGAGACAGGATTGACAGGGTTTTTGTGACGGGAAAGGACGACGGGAAGGACGGTGAGAGGAGGATGTTGAGAGGAGAACGTTGAAGACAGCGGTTCAACAACCAGTTCAGCAAAGGTTGTCCCGCGAGTGAGCTGTGCACTGAAGCTGCCAATGACAAGGACCGGCCAAATCGTAAACCAGCAGCTGACAGTAAGAACGAACCGCCTGGTGTGGCCATCATAAGGCATAACAAGGCATTTGCTGTGAAAAGGAAAACGCGTCCTCAGTGCGAAAACCAGACACACAGGAGGAACGTGTAATGTCCATGAGAGATTCGTGATACGTGCGGAATCTCACCTTATCCAATCCCACGGGACCCAGCGAGCTCTTGACGATGTTGGCTATGGCCATGCACGCCGTGACTGGAGATCGCGAATGGAAGCATTCAGAGGAGGGAGAATGAGGGGGAAACAACATGGAGGGAGAGAGAGGTTAAGGCCGGTGCTGAGGAATTGTTATTAACTGACACGTTTCTTGATAGTGTTGACAATGGTCATGGAGAATGGCCATGCACGTGTGGAAACAATGGACATTGGACAATGACTAGAGATCGCAAATTGACTTCTTTCTTACATGTGAATTGAGATAACGAAGGAAGGATCGATCAGCGACCACTACCACCCACCAAACCCTTCCAATTCGGGACTGATTATCAAGCCGGCACGTGTAAGGTCGACCCGAAATACTGCGTTGCTGTACCCCTAGCCCTGAACCCTCGACCACGACTCTCAACCACGACGTATTGCAGAGGCTGAACGAAGTGTGCGAAAAGCAGCGCGAAAAGAAGTCGACCCATGTTGAGACGACGGTAAAGTCGTGCACGTGCTAAAGGGACACCGAACCAAGCGAGAATTCCATTTCACTGAGATCCACGAGCCGGGTTACGGACTACTATCCTTCCGTGTGTTGTATAGCTTTCGAAGATTATTACAAGATCTGTAAACACACGCATAAAAGTTCTGAGCCTCGTAGAACTAGACCCGTACCATTTTGTGTTCGTACGTCTTGACCCGTGATGCGCTCGCCGGCAATCTCTAGCCCGTTTGTCGCCATGTGCGCTCGCTGCTGCCTGATTTAGAGAAAACACGGATCTAGATCCACAGAAAAGAATCGCGGAAGGAATAAACACGGAGAAAAACGAACGACGATAAACTCAGTATAGTGCACTATTAGTACGTGACCATATTACACCACAGCACCTGTACGACAACGATGGCGGGTAAAAGAATCCCGCGTGCTCGCAAAAGTGACCTACGCGGGAAAGTATCTTGAGATTGAAACAGATACGATCCAATCCGGACAGATCGCGAAAAGGAGATATAAGCGACCAACCTATATTCAACGATCAATCCGTTGGACAGCAGGATCCTGGACGGAACGCGCTTGAAAGTGCGTTGCGAAATCAATCCAGGAATTGATGGACATCCAGAGCTGTGATCAGACAAGCACGTTTGGTACTGGAAGCGTGCGAATCTGAGATAAAGTGAGAGCAAGGACAAGACGAGCAGAACTCACTTCCCGTTCAGGAGGAAGCCAGAATGATACTTCCTGAGAGAGGTGGTGTTCAAACGCTCGTTTCACCAATACCCTACTCAGCCGTGCTAGATGGTGATTCACCGCTCCAGAACGCAGAATACCGGATGTTGGGGTCACACTTCCGAGATTTTATATGCAAATGAAAATAGTGTGTGGAAGCGGAAGACAACCTGCAAACGAATCTCATCATGGTATGTCCCCTAAAGCTCACCCAACATCGAGGTTGTCATTAGCGCAGCAGCTGATTGGAAATGGGTACACTTTCAGCCACTACAACTCATTGTTGAATTTGGCATGTGAAAATGATTACCCTAATACTCTCGAAGGTTACCTCAATGGCTTAAGACCCAGGGTCTATTTTGTATTAGATCAATTTATTTACTAATATTATCACCTAACATTCAGTTCTTGAGGGAAAAACTCATGGAGAATCAGTAAACAAAGCATGGAGATTACGTTCTTGGTGGTTGCATGCCTCTCCTTGCTTGTTGAACATTTTTTGTTCCATCCTCCTGCCGTCCACGCAACCTATTCCTTTCCCCTGTATCCCCTCTTGGTACCACTCCCACGTTGCGCCTCAAATCCGCTTTCTGCCCGTTCACCATCCCCGACCCACCCACCCCCACCCCTCTCTTCCGCACGGCCCCCTCCTTGCTCATCTCCTCGGAACTCGGCGGTAACGTAACATTCGTCACGCGAGCAATCCGCCCGATCAACCCAGCCCGAGCCTCGTGACTGGTGTCATTCTTCACCCAGTCATACGTGGGAATGCGGTAGTTGCTCTGCTCGGGCTGCCAATCCGTGGGGTACGTGGCCCAGGAGAGGTCCTCCATGTGCTTGTGCCACACCCACACCGCTCTGCACCCATCTGCCAACACCTCGAATTCATCCTCGTGTGTCACCGGCTGCTCTAGGAAGTCCGTCTCCAGGAACCTGCCAGGGAAAGGAGCCACAAGGAAGAGGAGTTGTTGGATGGCTTAGCATGCATGCATGTTGAGTCACAGTGGCATGCTGCCATTGCTGCCATTGGCAGCAATGGCCGAAAGAAGGCAAGGTCCCAGCACAATGACCTGCCATGTCAACCCCATGTCAAGACTCCCTACCCGCGTTTTGAAGGCCGGAAGCGAATTGGCTGCTTCTTCCCTTGGACTGTGCCGTTGCGGAGAGCCTCCGTGCTGCATAGCACACACACCACAAGGCACACCACAGGGCACACAGGGAACAGTGTTGGGACACCTACATAAAATTGAAACATGCTCTTCAGAGCTGCGTTTCAACAGGAGCGAACGAGTGACTTCGAGACTCGGTGCCACACACACAGCACAGGGCGCGCGCGCAGAGGGGAGGTTCGGTTCCTAACTGAGAGCGGAACACGCCTTTGCTCACCTGAACGCGAATCCAGCCATGTCCGGGATGTACCACCGCGCCTCGGGGTCCCTCTGGTCTTTCAGTCACATGAATGCCCTCTGCATGCAACTTTTGATGCACAATCTCTGATCCACAGTCATACCTGAAAGCAAACCCAGCCATGTCCGTGATGTATCGCCGTGCCTCGGGGTCTCTCTGCAGGGGGACGCGCCGGCCATACGCCTCCCACCCCACGACCCGCGCCCGTGCCACCTGCTCCATCTCCCCGCCCGCGTAGCCACCGCCACCGCCATTGCCACCGCCACTGCCACCGCCACTGCCACCGCCACTGCCGCCGCCACCGCCACCGCCACTGCCACCGCCACTGGCGCTGCTTCCAGTGCTGGCGCTGCTGGCCTCCACAGAAGAGTCACTCTCCGTCTCATCCCCCTCCACAAGCACCTGCACAATCGGGCGCCCAGCATACGAGCGCATAGGACTGTCCTTGCCACCACCGTTGTCGCCACCAGCGTTGCCGCCACCAGCGTTGTCGCCACCACCGTTGTCACCACCACGGCCTTCCACCGCAGCACCCCTCTCCCTCTCACCCCCCTCCCTCGCACCTCTCTCCCTCTTGCCCTCCCTGTCACCCCCCTCAACGGCCACGCGCACAATGGGGCGGCCAACGTATGAGCGCATGGGGCTGTCTTTCCCAAACAGGAACCCCACCGGCAGCAGCCCGATGCGCCGGATCTTCCTTAGCTCCTCAAACAGCTGCAGCGCATACGAGTTGTCATCGTCCATAAAGTACACGATTCCTTCGAGATTCTCTTTCTCGATGTACTCCAGAGCAATGTTCCGTTGGCCCACGCCGCGGAACCATCGTTGGTCCTCGTCCTGCAAAGGGCGGGTTAGGACGGGGGAGGGTGTGGTGGAGAGCGGGCAAAGCAGTGAGGAGGGGGGCAGGGAAGGAAGGCTCTTCCGCAACACTTTGGCTTCAACAATACTTACACGATATTTTGGTAACCGTTGAAAGCCACTCATCACCACCACGATATTTTTTCTCATTCTTCTTTCTTCTTCTTCTTATCTTCCCGTCCCCTGAATTTGAAATTCCCAAACCCCCAAACTTACCTTCCCAATGGCTATATAAACGTATTCCAGCTTCCGACACCCGCCTGCCTCTGCTGCTGGGCATCACCCAACACCCAGAACATCAGCCTAATCCCTGCCCTCCCACTTACATTTCCAGTGGCTATATGAACGTATTCCAGCTTCCGACACCCGCCTGCCTCCACCGCTGCACAGTACCCTGCGGTCCGCTCTAGCAGCATGGCCGTCTCGTCCGTCTGCGCGCAAGCGAGCAGAGCAGCATGCGAAGTTAACAGGGATTCGATATCCGCCCCAAACACCAAGCTTTTTCAAGTCTTCCGAGCCGCCTCACAGACCGCTTTCGCATCCCGCAAGAGTAGCGTACCTTATTCCCGTGTGCGGAAGGGGGGGAGAGGGCGAGTGAAGGAGTGGGGGGAATCGGGCTGGCAAGTTTGAGGCGCTACTAGCGTACCTTATTCCCGCTCTCCACGACGATCCACGTGTGCGGGAATGGGGGACGGGGGGGGAAGGGGGGCCGAGCGAAGGAGGGGGAGGAAAGGAGCTGGCAAGTTTGAGACATCGCGGAAAAGGGATTGCGGAAAGGCTTCCAAAAACTTGCGGAAAAGTAACTTTTAAAACCAGGGTGCACATTCAACGCGGTTCGGCTTGAGATGTTGGGAAGGGGGTTTGGAGAAAAACAGTGATTGGCTCACGAGGGGCGACAAAAAAATGATTCCGCTAGAGCTTCGGGCATTTCGTAGGTGGCGGGAGGGGGTGAAATGGCGGGAGTGGGTGAAACCGAATGGCGGGAGGGATGAAACAGATTGGCGGGAGGGGGGGGAAACGAAATTGCGGGGGAGGGGGGAAACAAAATTGCGGGGGAGGGGGGAAACGAATTTCGACGGGGAGGGGGAAATGAAATTGCGGGGGCGTGGGGAAACGAAATTGCGGGGGAGGGGGGAAACGAATTTCGACTTGAAGGGGTTGAAAGCACACCTCGTAACCCACTCAGTCAAGGGATAACCTTTGATGCACATTCAGCTGAATGTGCACCCCGGTTTTAAAGCTCGCGTCTCATATTTATGCCATCCAACCAAGTGTTAAACGGTTGGAATCCGGTAACAGCAGAGTTTGTCGCACAGCACACCAAGGAAAGGGGTGGTTGGTAAGGTTGGTTGGGAAATCGCGTCGCACACTTCCCCGCGAACACCAAGCATTTACAATCTCGGAAATTTGAGACTCTGAACTCTCAACTCTGACAGTAAGCGGGGCCAAACCTGTCCCCCAAGGCTCGTCTTCCACCCAATCCTGCACACCCTGGTTTGTTTTGGCCAAACCTGTTTGGGAGTTCGCTGTGTTTTTTTCACCCGCTCGTCACATATTTAGTCATTCGTTACCCAATCAAATAGGGGCAAACCCAACCAAGTGTTAAACAGTAGGAAATTTGAGACGCGAGCTTTAAAGCGACGGTGCACTTTTGGCAAAGGAACAGTGCTGACGTCAGCCCTGCGCGAAGTGGGTTCAGTGGTGCGAGACAAAACAGGTTGAACATGCCGTGACGAAAAAAACGAAATGAGTGCGAAATGCGTAGGGGGGAAGGAAGGCAAGGGTCACAAATGTGCGCAAGGGGAAGGGAAAGCGAGGGGGGGAGGAACTTGACCTGCGCAGCGCACCCACAACAAACCACGGCCACAATTTTCTCTCGACATCAAGAAACACAACACACACCACACGCCAATAGAGGCCTTTATGAGTACAATAGTTATCTTACCAACCAAACGCCTTGTGGCTAGCCGGGTTTAGGCCACGGCGCGCGCACTGTCTAACGGCCCTTGTCTCATAGCTTCTCCCACCATGCTCAATGTTCACGAACTCTCTGACGAACTAGTCTGCCGTTGAATAAGAAAGGCACTTGGGTGTTATTTTAGAGTGTCAGCAAGAAACGACGACGCAACTTCTTCAGCGACGAATTATCGTGAGGCTGTACTCATAGCAGCCAAATCGCCGAAATTCATCAGGTACCGATGTCGACCCACGAACACCTATTACCACTCCACAGCGGAACACACGTTGAACCAAACCGCTCGTGTTCGCATGATTCGGTTTTCGAGCCCGACCCTTCCAAACTAGCACTCCCTTTCCTAACATTTAGTGTTTGACGTATGAACAATGTAAATCTCTGGTACAATCTGTCTGGCCATACCATTCCCCAGACATGGCGCGGTAAATTAGGAAGTGACGGCATGCATCACGCGATTCCCGCACCCTGGCATTATGTGTGCTTAGGCATATCATTCGAGTTCTCCCGTTAGAAGGACACGATTGAAGGGAGGCGGAAAGGAGTGATGGGTGGCGGAATTGAGTGAAGGGAGGCGGAAACGAGTATACGGAGCCGGAAACTTGTGAAGGGACTCCGAAACGAGTGATGGGACGCGAATTCGAGTTACGGGAGGCGAAAACGAATGACGGGAGGCGAAAACGAGTGATGGGAGGCGAAAACGAGTGATGGGAGGCGAAAACGAGTGATGGGAGGCGAAAACGAGTGGTTTGCGGCGCAAACGAGTGATGGGAGGCGGAATCGAGTGGAGGGTGGCGGAAAGCAGCGAGGAGAGGCTCCAACGAGTCATTGGAGGCGGAAACGAGTGATGGGGGGAGGGTACAATGAAGGGAGGGGGAAATGAGTGATGGGATGCGGAAATCACTCGGAGTGATGGGATGCGGAAATGTGTGCTTGGAGGCGGAAGTGAGTTATGGGTGGCGGCGGACGAGAGTGCTGGGAGAGGCGTGGGAGAACGGATTAGCTTTTTCTACCGTTGGCGATATTGCGAGGTGGGTTTACAGCAGGCAGAGAGGCGTCCGAAAACGGTAACTCAAAGCGGCGTGGTTTTCATGCAGCGAGAGGTGTTCAATCGGCCGACGTACAGATCCGGTTTCTGGTCGGACATGGGCGAGAAACCGGGACGTCGCGCATCGCTCAACATAAACCGAAATCGTGCGCATATCGTGTGGAGAGATGTGACATAAACCGACATCGTGCGCATATCGATACGGGCGTTCAACATTGAGGGAAAACGGACCTCCAGACGCGTGAGGTACGGGCGGGTATAAGCGTAGAATACTGTTGTGTCTTGCCGCGTGGAGCCTGACCCTAAACCGGACGTCACGATACCTCGAGACCCTGAGGCGAGGGATATGCAAGGCGTGTGGCGATGCTGAGTGTGTGTTCTGAAGTGTAGGAACACGGCGCGACGATGCGGTGGAAAGGGTCGCTTAGGAGGGGGAGTATCAGCGCGCCTGGAAAATAGCTGTGTACTCTGCTATGTCGGGCTGCCTACTATTATGGACTAGTCAAACCTAACACCTGCATGCGATGGGAAGCGATTGAGTTCACTTTTGTTCAAAGGTTTTTTATTGTCAATAGCAGCGGGGAGATGCCAAGTCAGTCGCGCAAGTTCTCCCCCTGCCGTTTGGCCCCCAACTCCCGCAACGCAGGGTACATGGTTACGAGGCGTTCAAAAGTGCACCGTCGCTTTAAGATACCTGCTCCCGCAATTTTCAAGTCAAGGTCAAAAGCATCGGAAATTTGGGTTGAGTTTCGGCAACTTTCTGGACACAATTCCGACGCAAAGCGTATACGTTTGCGCAACATAACGTATACTTGGTTGTCACTTCAATGTCACTTCCATGGCATGCCACGTGGCACAAGTACAGTTTCATGGAGGCTTCCTAACTCTTTTTAATTCTAGGCGCCTCTAAACCCGCACACGCATGCCGCACCACGCACCTTATTCCCGCTCTCCACGACGATCCACGTGTGCGGCGGCGGCACGAGGCGCAGCGTGTGAGTGAGCTCCGTGAGGTACGCCGCCTGGAACGCGCGCGCGTACGTCGGCGTCACCAGGATGAGCCGGGGCGGAGGGGCAGGCGCCACCGCTGGCGCATCAGTCCGTGCTGGCAAGAGCGTTGGCACCTGCAGGAAGGAAGGCGGAAGAACGCAGACTGTGAGCCCGCCGGCGACTTTTGAGGCGCCTTAAAGGTCAACCCTTTCGGGTAAGCCCGCCCGCTGGCGTTACACAAGGGGTTACGCGGTGAGGCGGAACGCGTTACGCACTGGCAGTCATTCATCGTACCAGGAGCCAGATGGATGCGCAGGAGAAGAGCGCGAGCAGCCCTATCCAGTGCACCAGCTGCGACGACTTCATGCAATTCCCCGCAGTCGGCAGCACCGGAACCTAGCAGGTGTAAGATGAGTCGACTCAAAGCAAACCTGAATGTCGTCATACAGGCAATCGCCGTACCAGGAGCCAGATGGAGGCTCATGCGACGTACCAGGAGCCAGATAGACGCGCAGGAGAAGAGAGCGAGCAGCCCTATCCAGTGCACTAGCTGCGACGACTTCATGCGACTACCCGCTGTCGGCACCACCGGAAGCTCCCTGTATCCCGGCGGCAGGTACGGCAGCACGAAGCGCGACACTCTCCATTTTAGACCGGAGGACGCGGCGTCAGTCGATTCTTTCTCCTTTCCGAACATCACGTCTCTATTCTCCTTTCCGCTCGGACCAGAGGGCGGCTTTCGCGGCCGTTTCGAATGGCTTCCTGGAGCGTCATCGTTTTCAAACGCCGTTTCGACGCCACCACTACCAGTAATTTGAGACGTATCAAAATTCAAATGAGTTCATGTAACGCCGCTTCGTTTGTTGACGTGTTCATCGCAGTTGGGGAAGTCAGGAAATTCAGAGCAGTCGGGAGATTCAGAGCAATCGGGAAAGCCGGAAGTTGCCTTTTCCATGTCATTGCCAGCACCACCGGCGAAGTCGTCGGATCGCCGCGTAATCGATGGACGATGCGATGTCCAGTCGACCGGCGATGCCGCCATGTTTCGATGCTGTGTTATGTCCTGCAGTGGACTCATGCTATATGCTAGTTCTCTCCACCAAGAGAGAAGCTACTGATTTGTATTAGTGCCTGAGGGTCTGAATGACCAGCGGCGACTAGGTAAATGAATCTACTGGAAAGCTCAAGACACCACGACTATAAGTATGGTAGTGAGAAACTCAGTCACTTCTCCCTCTCGCTTTACCGCAAAAGGCTCTAGGCTTAGGTCTGACGATGCACCTTTCTTGACTCTAGATTTGTTGCTAACAACGTGCGGCGCGCGAGACCTCTATTGCAATCAAGACGTGCGGCGGCATATGTGATTATGCGTCAGAGCAAGCAGCAGATCGAAGCTGGCACCGACTGCGCCACTTCCTTCCTACTGATATAGCTGTTGACTATCGCTGTGCGAAATGACTTTTGGCTGGAAAGCCACGAAGCGTGTGAGGCCTCTATTGCAATCCTTGAGCATCTGTGAATGATCTTTGCTTCAAAGCAAGCAGCAAATCGGAGCCGGCACCGACTGCGCCACTTCCTTTCTACTGATATAGCTGTTGACAGCTAGTGACTATTGCTGTGCGAAATGAACTTTGGCTGGAAAGCTACTTCATGAAGTGTGTGAACGCAATGCAGCCAGTATCCTCGAGAAAGGGTTCGTATCTCGAGTCGGGTCAGAAAATGCAGATTCCACATTTGTGAAGCCAGCGAACCCTAAAGAGAGGAAGAGGATCAGCTGCACCGCCTGTGATAAGTCGCTAGATGCGTCGCACGTACATTATCCGATCAAAAGCGACAGTTGTAGCGAGTCAGGTTCGTTGAACGACTTGTACCTACGCAGAATCCGTCCCTGGAGCCGAAGGGAGTCGCGTGGCGTTGAGGCGGGTTGAAAGTCCAGAAGGAGTCGGTTGCAAGGCGGCAACCAGCACCTATCACTGGCAGACGCCATGGGAGCCCTCCTATCCTCGGTTCCTCCATTCATTTCTTGCGATAGACGACCCATTCTTGTTTTCTGTCAACTACTGTCGATCAGAGACGTTGTGGCCTGCAGCAAGCGTGTCAGAGCCAGCTTCAAGAAAGGGAGAATGGTAAGCGCAGCCGCCCCAGCATGTGGGATGGGTGCGAGCGAGGAGAAACGGATGGGAGCAACGGTGTCAGAAAAAGGAATGGCAGAGCAGCAAGCTCTGCTCAGATCGAGTCGCGATCAACTCAGGTGGGCGCGTGCGTAGGGTCGAATCGACCTGTCACAGCGTGTGGTGGGGTGGGTGGATGGTGGACCCCCCAGTTCGTTGAACACAGGAAAGCCAGGTCTACTTATCGCGTTTCAACATTTGCACGAAAATCACATCGGCATATGGTACTAAAGCTCCAAGAGATGCATCACAGAAAATTGAGACGAGGTGCATTTTCATGAGCCGGGGCAAACCGAACGTGTTCGCGTTCGCCCCAGCTCGAACACTGCCGTTCGGCAAACCAAACAGTGTTCGGTTCGCCGAACACCTTTTACAAAAAAGGGTGTTCGATGTTCCCCTGTGAGGGCGAACGTCTTGCATGCTAAGGCGAACACGAACGTGTTCGAGGCAAACACGAACGTGTTCGCCCATGGGCATCCTTTGTTTTGCTGTAAATACGCAACGGCGGGCAGGGGAATTGCGGGAAACTGGGGGAAAATATCTAGGCTGGATCAGCATTTTGCGAGATCTAATTACGGATCCATAGTTTTTTTTTTATCCAGCTCGCCACCTGGATTTCCCCCACGTAAGGCGAAATGCTCTCCCCTTTCTATATCTACGAAAGCTGCAATTTCTCGCCAACCCCCCACAGCCCTCCAACTCACGAAATATGCGAATGTTATTCCTCTCAATCCCATGCATACGAAATTTGCGAATGCTTCCCCCAACCCTCAACTTACGAGATTCTGCGACATCCCTATCTAATCTTTTCCCGAAAACCTAAATCTCGCATACCCAAGTCTAGACAGACAAACCTAAGGTAACTACTTAATTACGCTAAGTCCTAATAAGGTGATAACGGCGTGATGTGTGGGGGGCGTGGTAGTAATGGCTGCTGCTGAATAGCGTGACTAAGTTTGAGCTCAAATTTGAGCTCAAACAGAATGTCCCGCTGTCAGATTTATATGACATAGCTACTGTAGGCTAGAGTGGGGTAGCACATATGGGGTACAGTTTTCTAGGGTTTGCTTCTTGTACCCAACTTTCACTTAGTCATTCTCATTCCTGTTTTTTCTTGATTCACATGGTATAGAGCGGGTTCCTACATGGGACCGTTCCTTCCTAAGGGCCCACCATAAGAAATTTTTTTTAGCTGCCCGCGCACATTGCGCCCTGCCCTAATTTTTTTTTTTTTTTTTAGCGGCCCCTACGCTGCCTCTACGCGGCCCCTACGCCGCCTCCCACGCGCCCCCTATGCGGCCCCTTGACGCGGCCTGACGCGGCCCCTGGCGGCGCCCTGACGCAGCCCCTGCCGCGGCCCTGACGCGGCCCTGCCGCGGCCCCTGACGCGGCCCTGACGCGGCCTGCCGCGGCCCCTGCCGCGGCCCTGAAGCGGCCCCTGACGCGGCCCTGACGCGGCCCTGCCGCGGCCCCTGGCGGCGCCCTGACGCGGCCCCTGACGCGGCGCCCTGACGCGGCCCCTGCCGCGGCCCTGACGCGGCCCTGCCGCGGCCCCTGACGCGGTCCTGACGCGGCCTGCTGCGGCCCCTGCCGCGGCCCTGAAGCGGCCCCTGACGCGGCCCTGAAGCGGCTCTGCCGCGGCCCTGACGCGGCCCTGACGCGGCCCCTGACGCGGCCCCTGCCGCGGCCCCTTACGCGGCCCTGACGCGGTCCTGCCGCGGCCCCTGGCGGCGCCCTGACGCGGCCCCTGACGCGGCGCCCTGACGCGACCCTGCCGCGGCCCCTGACGCGGCCCCTGCCGCGGCCCCTGACGCGGCCCCTGACGCGGCCCCTGTCGCGGCCCCTGACGCGGCCCCGCCTCCTCTCAGCGGCTCCGCCGCCTCCTCTCAGCGGCCCCGCCGCCTCCTCCCAGCGGCCCCGGACGCCGCCCTCTCAGCGGCCCCGCCGAGCCGCCCAGCAGCCGAGCCGCCGAGCCGCCCAGCAGCCGAGCCGCCCAGCAGCAGAGCCGCCGAGCCGCCCAGCAGCCGAGTCGCTGAGCCGCCCAGCAGCCGAGCCACCGAGCCGCCCAGCAGCCGAGCCGCCCAGCAGCCGAGTCGCCGAGCCGCCCTGCAGCCGAGCCGCCCGAGCCGCCCTGTCCGGTAAGAGCAGCGCCTCTCTCACAGCACTGCCCTCACCCCACTGTTTGCGCTGCTAGTCTACTACTGACATGGCTACCCCTAGTGTCCTCGCTTTTGACGCTGAGGGTCGGGCCATTGACTTTGACGTCTGGATAGATGACCTGCAGCTTTTCTTACAGTGCGATAGGGCAGACGGCCTCTCCCTCTTTGACCTCACTTCTGGTGCCTCTCCTGCTCCCGCCACTGATGCTGACGCAACTGTTCGCTCCCAGTGGGCCACGCGCGATGCTGCTGCACGTCTTGCTGTGCGTCGCCACCTGCCTACCTCTGAGCGTGCGCACTTTAGCCAGTACAAGAGTGCTCAGACCTTGTACGACGCTGTAGTTGCACGCTACTCCTCCCCTGCCACTGCTGCACTGAGCCGCCTCATGCTACCGTACCTCTTCCCTGACCTTGCTGCCTTTCCCACAGTCGCTGACCTCATCACGCACCTCCGCACTAGTGACACTCGCTACCGCGCTGCGCTTCCTGCTGAGTTCTGCGCCAAGAACCCCCCCCCCATGTACATCACCCTCTACTACATCGTCACCCGTCTCCCTGACTCCCTTCGCGTAGTCAGGGACCACTTCCTCTCGGTTTGTCCCACCACTCTCACCGTTGACCTCCTCGAGAAGGCCCTCCTAGCAGCAGAAAAGAGCATAGTCGCTGTAGGAGCCTCTCGTGGTGACCCTCGCACCCCCATCTTTGAGGGGTGTTCCCCCTCCCCTCTTTTGCCCTCTGTTGCCTCTGCTGCTGCGGCCGACCTCGCTGGTTTGGAGTCGGTTGGGGCAGCGTCTACCCCTAGCGGGAGACGCCGCCCTGGCAGGGGCAAGGGGGGCAGGGGCGCTGGAGGAGCTAGCGGGGGCGGTGGAGGCGGCGGTGGAGGTGGTGGAGGAGGTGGTGGTGGCGGTGGGAGTGGTGGCGGGGGTGGAGGTGTAGGTGGCGGCAGTGGAGGCGCAGGAGGCAGCGGCGGTGGCGGAGGGAGCGGAGGTAGCGGCGGTGGAGGAGGAGGCGGCGGAGGAGGTGGAGCTGGTCGGGGTGGCGCTGCGCAGAGGGTCAGCTCCGGTGGTGGTCAGCGCCAGCAGCAGCAGCAGCAGCAGCAGCAGCAGCAGCAGCGC